ATACGAAAGAAAAAAAAATACGAGTAGTTCTAAGGAAAAATATTACATTACCATTTTCTAGCTATAGCCTTAAAAAATGATATCATATTTAAATTTCTTTAATAAAAGGAAGATTATTGAAACCATTATTATATTACGAGTTTCAAATGTTTTATAATCTCGTGATTTTTCTTCCGCGATACGATCCTTTTAAATATACAGAAATTTTCCAACTAAATGCAGTTTTGCTTCTCGCAGCCAAATGGCATTAAATTTTGTTTCGATGTACGAAATGTTTCGCCTAAGAATCTCGAGTCGCTTGTGTGAAAATAGAAAGATGGGTCTCAAAGCCCGTTGTATGTACCGTTCGCCAAAGTTGCCATTGCTTTTTATCATAAAGGTCAAACAAATTCGAGTAGCCAATTCATATCTGCCGTGGCTGTCTTTTCTGGAACTCTGCTGTCGGCCATAAATGTTGCATGAGCGCCTAAAGCGACTGACATTAATATGTAAGCGTTATGCGAAGGAAAGAGACGCGAATAAATTTGTTTCACAATGTAACAAATCATGTTATTAACTTTATTATAATAAAACATAATAGTTAATAATAATTATTGGGTAAATAATAATAAACATGGTATAGTTAATAATAATTAAATATTTATCCGATAATTATTATTGTGATAATTATCAGGGAATATAATAAAATCAAATAAAAGAAACATTATATTAGAGCAATAGCGAATTTGAAAGATGGCTGTTTTTGTTTATCATTTTTTCTTTTCGCAATCTTTCTCATTTATTTATTTCTTTTCTTAATAAATGACGCGACGTAAAAAAGATAAAATATTAACAGTTAAAATTTTAAAGCAAAAATTGTTTATAAAATAATACTTATCTATTTTAAAGAAGTAAGGAAGATAAATATCTTTTCTCTCTTTATCTCCCTCTCTTTCCATACTAGTTTTGTATGTCATAAATAATCTTACATCGTAAATCATACAGAGCACTTTCAAAATATTAAGTATTTTATATTTATAAAAATTATGAAAGTAATTTTAAGAACATACATTTTATGACATGTACGATCTTTTTTGAGTCAAATTGAGAATTTTAAAAGAGTAAGAGATAAACTTATCACACACATATATATCATTTTTTTTTCTAATTATAAAAATAACTTAAATTAATTTATAACTTTTTATTTTTAAGCCAAACCAATTTATTTCTTATAGCTCGACATTATTTATCGTGATATATAATATATAATGATATTATGTAAGCAAAACACGGAAGTAATTCAATATAAGTGCAAATCACATCGGGGAACCTTGAATTCTCGAAAGACGAGGCCGTCATTCCTCTCTCCTTGGTGCATCAAACATTCATAATCAATTACGAATGACGTATTAGAGCCTGACCTCGACGATGAAATATTTCCGTTGGTTGATCTTTCGGCTTCTACTAATCGCAGAGGCACAAGTATAATATTACGGAATTTAAATAACTTTTTTAGAGTCTAATTCTAAAAGAAAGACTTGTAATGTAATATCAAATATAATATTAACAACTAAGCGGCATGATATGACAAATAATTATATTTTTCTAAAGAAAAAAAATTATATTGTATATTTAAAAACACATTTATAAAAAAAATATAAAATTATGTGATAATTTTTAGATATTTTGTATATCTACACTGTAAAAAAATATGTAATATATTACATAATTATGTAATTTTACATATTTTTTTACAGTGTAGCGTAATATCATGACATCTAATTAATTTAATTCGATTAATTTTGCATTGATTATTTTTGTAAGATTTTTTTTCGATAAATTTATATCGTATATTTTTTTCCCCGACGACCGGTTGGTGCCGATTCGTTCAATCGGCTCGCAGACACACCGTGATGTAATTAGAGTCTAGACTACTTTTACAGATGACGAAATAATATTCAAGATCGCGTCTATCCCGGCGTTCGTGGCTTTCTATTTGTATGACCATGGTATCTGTTATGGCATAGAAAGACTAGAACCACATTTTGACCGTCTGGGACCTCTAACGGTATCGTCAAAAGAAAGATGCGTCACGAATCGAATGTCCACGCTACTTTTGGCATCTCAACTAATGCGCGATCTATCCGTCGCTACATTCCTCGTCGCTCAATCTTCTCTCTTCAACATTTTTTCCCGTCAGATATATAAATGAAACAGGCAGGAGATTGGAAATAAATGATCGCGATTGAAAAAAACAGGCGTTAAATTGTTCGTCTATTTTTTCTCATAATGTGTTTTATACTTGATATATCTTTCCGAACGATACAATCGGACTCGTATATTTATGATAAGAATTCTTATCTCTCATAAAGTATATAGGAACACGTTAATTCTAAACGATTCGATGCTTTGCAGATCTAATGTGCCAATTGTTTGAAGAATCTCTAAAGAGATTCAGTTGTTCAAAATTAACACTTTGAAGTTGACATTGTCGAAATTAATGTATGATAATCGTTTGACCTTTGAACTTTTAAGTATAATATATAGGTGGGTGATGATGTATATACGTCATTTCTCCACGATCATTCATCGTTATATTCCTTCGGTAATTAAACAAGTGTGACATTCGCTGTAAAAAGCAAAGAATCTTGTCATCTATCGACGACACAATCTATCAAAAGATCATAATCACCACTAGAACATTCGCACATAAATATCCGTCATTCGTCGTGACCGTCTGCAACCTCTAACGGTGTTAGCAAAAAAGCCAGACGCAAAGCGACGAATGTCCTTGAGTGCTTAGTGCGTACTTGAATGTCTGCTAGAAGCGACTATACGACTGCTCGTATAATAGTATAACAGCCTAACACAAGCATTGGCGTCTGCAGGGGGGCATTTGTTCCCCTTAGAATCAGTAGAAAAATTCAGCATTTGCTCTCCTGAATAAACATACTGGAATATATTTGCAATTTTATTTAATATAAAAATATTAAAAATAACGAAATAAGAAAAAGATTGAATTTTTAAATTAAAAAAGAATAATAAGAAACAAAAAATATTTTAATCGTGTTTCTCCCTGGAAAAGATCTTGCGTATAAGTGCTCGAGAGAGAGTGTGTGTGTAACATTTCGTAATTTCGTAACATTTTTCGTAGACTTTTTATTACTATTACATACGAGTAGTATAGTTTCTATAACATAGCAGCACCCAAGCGCGGCGATGCAAATCGGAAACTTAATTAATTCTACGTTTATTTAATAAATTAGCATTGATTATCCGTTAAGTTACATTTAATATGAATTATTTGTAACCTTATAAGTGTTTTTCTATCTAATGTTTTCATCTTTCGAGTCTGATTATTATATTAAATAGATTGCGTTACGCACTCTCTCTTTCACAAAATTCAAATTACTTTTCTACACATTAATTTGAAGCTCGATTTATGCTCGAATTGTGATTTAAGCTTTTTCTCTGAAAATTTGAACAAAATAAATTTCATGCGTCGCTACACGATTTTCTAAGAAATCCAGTATGTAATTTCCGGCTTATTTGTCGATTCGCGAAAGGTGAAAGGCTCGAATGTATAGGTATATGAAACAGAAGAAGCGGTCAAAATTCACAACGTTCTCTTAGATTGTGCCTACTGAAATGTCCAATATTTTTCTTAAATAAATAAAAAATAAACAACGAAAAAATTGCCAAAAAATTCTTTAAATAAGCTCTATATCGTCAAATCTTTTTCACAAATCTCTACGCATTGAATACAAGACACAAAAATAAATTAGCTACCATAGTTAAATTTTAGCTATTTCTATATTACACATGAAAAGTTATCATGCCTAAATTTTAGCTATGTGATAGCTAATATTTGTAGCTACAGAATTCTCCGTTAAACAATAGCTCAAATATCATGAATAAATTTTAGGTACGCAGCTAAAATTTAACTAATCTGAAAATGTAGGAAAATATTACACATGAAAAGTTCTCATGCCTAAATTTTAACTAATATTTTTTAGCTATAGAATTCTCCGTTAAACAATAGCTAAAATAGATATGATAAGTAAATTTTAGGCACAGCTAAAATTGAGCTAATTTTTCCGTGAATTTTATAGACGAGCGAGTCTAATCTAATAAATGAAATCTAATCTGAAAATGTATAGGAAAAACATGTACGATCGGTTTCGTTCGGATCTAAGATGCAGGCTCGCTCGCATATGTCGCGTTTCGTGTTTTCGGCTGCCATCCGCGAAGTACCGAGCCGAGTCTCGAGCAATGATACCTGCTCGCTTTGGCTAACGTGACGACCGGTGTGTGTAGCGATCTAACAGAAAAGGAACGGAGAAACGCAGCGCAAGAGCAATGCCCCTTGGGTCAGGTTCAGTACCCTTTGGCACAAGCAGCTCGGAGAACGACGTAACCGGCGTGCATCTGCGCGTGTTGGTGAACGCGCGCGTATACACGCGATCAGCTACGTCTACTTGCTGCGAGTACTGACGCGAGATAGATAAAAAACTGAACGAGGAGTTCTTCTCCTCTTCTCTTTTCTCCTCTCCTCTCCTTGTTTCGTTAAATTAGGAAGGATATAGCTTAGCCGCGCTAAATTCTACCGTATCACCGAAAAGTTCGCGTCGTTCTTCCGAGCGTTCGCGTCGCAAAACCGCTTTTCCAGATTTACGACTATGCTCTGTTCGGACTGTTTTATGCTGAAAATAAATGAGGACCTTTCCGTTAAACAAAAAATAAACTAAGTTCGAAACGCAGGGTATTGTTTTACGTAAATGGTTATACGGTCAAAAACTCAATTTGGTATTTGTATAATAAAGTATGTAGGTATATAAATACATAGTAAGAGCGACAAAATATTTGCTCTACATCCATAATTAATTTGCAAATATTATATGTGTGCAGAAATTTAAATCTTCGATGATATAATCGTGTACAATATTATACATATATACTTTTTATTATCATAACTTTTCCACGTATTTTCAAATATAATCATATATTTTTATACGTTTTAGTTGGTGGATACCTTAGAAGCATTGCCCCGGTACATATGCGAAACGGAAGTGATGGAAGACGTAAATGTCGCCCCGGCAGCGGCGATGATGGAGTATACTACTTCTGGTAACCATACAGGCAAAAATGCAAACGGAAATATCATCACTCTTACGCTCAAGAATAATCATCTTATCGTAGAAACGGAGGAACGTGCGGTACGTAATGTTTTCGCAAAAAAAATTCTACGAATATATAATATATTCCTACAGATTTTTCTTCATTCTAAATTTGTATTCTAAATAGCGAGATATACCGTAAAGAGCGTCGTAGAAATTCTATTGACGAAGCTTGGATAAACCGGGTCGGGGACTAACTCGTTTTGGGATAGGGAGTGGATTCGTAATTATCGAACTTGGCCGACCCTGTAAGGTCGGAGGTTACCGGGCAATTTTGCCCCCACCTATCGTCCTACTTAAAGCCTCGTCTTGTTCACGGAGGCTTGTTCCCGTCGAGGATCCTTGAGATCTCTCTTCGAGATCGCTCGCGTTCGTCTACACCTCATTTTCTCTTTCTCTCGCGGCGCCTAGCGTACGTTCTTTCTCTTTCCATCAGTTTCACATACCTTTTCATTTTCCAATCACTCTACTCGCGCTCTCATTCAATTCATTCTTCGCGCGCACGTACGTACCTGTACACGGCGCTCCAACTTTTGAACAAGGAAGAGGCGTGGAGCCGACTCGTGTCCGTAATTCGAGAGCCCACGCTGAAAAAAAAAGAAATGAAATGGTTAGATACATCATACGAGGTTTCGTGGGAGAATTTGAAACGTTTGACCAGAGTGATAAGCTTCGAATGTAATATCGGAATTCCGGATTTAGTTTTTAAATAATTCGTATTATATTTCATTTTTCTTTTCTTCCATTTTATTTTAATTTCATCCAGCTACTAACAATTTTGCATTAATTCATTTAATAAATTAAATATCGTACCTTTTATTTAATACGTTAAATATTTTATGTTTTAATCATTTTTATTTCGTATACTATTTTTTAATATAAATCTCTTATTCTTTGCGTGTAATTTCAGAAAACTAAAATGAATTCCCATTTTAATAATAAGTTAGAAAACAAGCCTCTATTAAAAAAAACACATTAATTTTTCGCTTAGAAAAAAATGGATTATGTGGAATATTATTTCTCAAGAGATATTATTAGAGAAAAAGCGCTGCATTCTATAATTCGCATTATGACGATGTTCTCTTTCAGATAACAATGGAAGATAACAAACCCACATCGAAAGGATACAAGGACAGTGGATGCTCGTTTGTGGTGGAGGTACAACCGGATTATGATAGAGAAGAGACGGAAGGTACCAAAGGATCTTCCGATGACATGACGGCCGGAATCACCGATCAACAAGCTCTGGTACACAGAGAGGAGATACCAGACGATAGATCTTCAGGTAATTATTCTCGCGATGCGCATGGGCATTCGCAGAATTTTTTTCCAGAAGGAGGCATAATTTTAATTTTTTATTTTTGTTCTTTCTTAATTTTCTAAATTTATTTTTTATACAATTACACACACACACACATACACACTATATATATATTAACGTAGACTCCTTTCCAATCTCATACGAAATCCAGATACCACACATACAAGATAACCAAGAAAGATGACACCTGTCAACACTGTTTGTGAGTTACTTTCCTATTTCAATTTTTTGATCTATAATTTTTAGTTTGGCTGTAATCATAATGCGTTGTTCTCTACATTATTTTAAGACCATCATTGTTCGTTTAAAATATATGTTCAATCGGAATGATTTCCGATCAATATAGAAATTAGTTATATAGACACACATGACTAATCGTAAGTTTTATTTTTATATTTTACTAACAGAGACCTAATTGTATAATATCTTTAATATATTTTAATTAATTTTTTTAGGTCAATCGCTCAATATATCTATTCCCTCATTTTATTTTATTAATTTTTTTATATTAAATATGCAAATAAATTTTAGTGTTTATTCAAAAGAAGAGCATATGCTTAATTTTTTTACCGATTCCTAGCGGGGCAAATGTCCTCTCTTGTCCCCCTTTGCAGACGCCCATGCACCCGCGATATATTACACCTGCTAACATTCGTCCTTTTATCTCCTCGTTTCGCAGGTTTCGAAAATACACGATTATTCGGTAGCACTAATACCGGTCTGTCGCAATCGGATCTCTCGATATCCAGTCAAGGCTCGGCCAATCCGAGTTACCGCTACGGCAATCAGGTCGAATACGACTCTGGCAATCTCGGTTATCCTATGTACGGCGGTAGTTACGAATCTGAGAATTATGATATACTATCGAGAAAGCTGGAGGGACGATCCAAATGGGTGGAATTTGACAAATCGCCGGACATAGAGAAGATACTGTTGGACGACTCCAGAAACTTGACCAGCGAGGATGATGAAGACAAGAGTGTAAGTAGATGGAGAGAGTATTCTTTGAATCGTTTTTTCGTATTGTTACATTTTATCAATTCTATCGATAACAAAAAATGTCATCAATTATATTTTTTGCCGATTTATCAATTTATATTTTTTGGAATCAGGTTTTTTCAAGCGTTTTAAGTTTAATGACATAAATAAATGTTTATAATATATTGAGAGTATATGTTAATTATATATATAGATATAATGATATATTAATATAATAATATATGTACATATATATATATATATATATATATATATATGTGTGTGTATTATGCATGTATGTTATGCATGAATCGATCGCGAAAGATTCTGGAAAGGCGAAAATTGTGCGCTTGCAGCCGCAGTTCTTTGGAAAATCAAAAAACATGTCGTCCCTGCAAGACGTCGTGAGCGCGGCGATCTGCGAGGGAACGCTGGAGATCAACAGTTTGCCGGACGCGGTGCGATCGAATCCGAATCTTCAGGTGAACGGCACGACGCCGAACAAGCTGGAGATTATGGAGCAGAAGGCTCTGAGCAACGATTTCTCCGGCAAGACGGAGGGCAACAAGCCCGTGATAACCGGCGCGCTGCTGAAGGACGACGTACAGGAGGACGCGTTTCAGGAGCAGCAGCGTAAACTGGGTAACGGCACGCTGACGCCGGAGCACAAGGGGGACAACAGGACGACGACGACGACGACGACGACGACGATGACGACGACGACGACGGTGGATCGCAAACCGGAAGGTAGCGTCTTTGTGCCGAGTCACAAACGGGCTGGCAGCATCCCGCCGCGATTGATCGAGGAGACGCTCGAGATGGATCGCAAGAAGTCGCTCGACATCTACAACAAGTACAGTCAAATCAAAACGAGCACCAGAAGCATGCTACCGAACTTGAGTTCGCCCAAGTTTGAGCTGCTGCAGAACGAGGTGAGCCCGATCGAGGAAAAGGAGAGTTAATGGGCAGAAGAATAAAGGAGAAAGAGGGTGCAAGAGGAGGAAGAGAGGGCAGACATCGTTGTTTTTCGACTCGGTCGTCGGAATGCAACTTCGCCCTCGGGGTAAATTGCAACGAAAGATACTAAGTCAGGGATTATATTGACGAAAAATGCAGCGAATGCGCGGTTAATGGTGCACTTGTAGGAATTATATTACTTGGTATAGCGAATTTATATGTAAAGGAAAACCGTACCGTGATGACGAAGAGATCATTACGATCTCGCGAATCCAAATCGATTAAGTATGAATACCTAGCTACTAATCCCGTACGACGAGGAAGATTTAATATGCGAGAAAGAAGGATTAGCGTTTATTAGCGTATATAACCGAGGAAGAAAAGACGCTCTATAAATGCTATCTGCCTCTCCATAGCATTCTCTCTATTCAATATTTCCGCGCGATCATTTATATAATGACTCGTTTCTCTTTTTGTGAACGCATAACGGGAGGTGTAACATATAGAAACAGACACGCGATGCTATTCTTTCATTATATATATTGATAAAAAATTCGCTTCTTTCGTTTAAAATGACGACAATTTAAGGTGACACTTGACACTCTTTTTATATGGATTGTGCTATTTAGTCTGCACCGATGGAGAACTTCTCGTGACCGAAACAAACAAGTGATAATGAGCAACGTTAACGTGGGCAGTAAATGAAAGATACACGCCGATCACGAGCGTAATCAAAAAAACATTACGAATAAGAGAATCCTCCTTTCATCAATTTCACGTAGGCAGTAGTACAGAATATCGCTCGACTAGTGATAGTGACGTAGTAGTATCATATATTTCGCGAGATCAACATTAACGATATTAGAAGATATACATATACATATGTAACGCTCATGTCATGAACCACCTCTCTAATTTCCTGTTTTCGCTCATTAAGATACCTTTCTTCTCGCGAAAATGTGTGTCGACACATCTTAATCCTCGAAATAAAATTCGGTGCTAAAATATATGTGATATTTATAATTATATAAATCAATTGCTTTAATTATTAATTATATTTTATTTTAGATTATTTACATAATGTATCTAATATTTAATTATCTCTTAAATTATTTTTCACGATCTTAAACCGAACAAACAAAGACAAAAGTTTTTCTCTTGGCGCGTTTATCAAGATTAAACGTGTGTCGTAAAAGATAATAAAGTTAAATGAAATTTCCTTCCCAAAATTCGTGCTGAAATTTGCTTTCTTCAAACTTTGTTTTCGTAGTTGCTACGAGTTTACTAATCTATCCCTGATCCAAGATTAATCATTCGAGTTTCATCTTCATATTATAGGTAGCAAATTCCATAGAATGTGAGACATTTCTAAACAGTCATATACTTAGTAGGCAAGTCAGTATACATATACATGCGTCGAATGTATATACGTATTATTACATAGGAAAATTCACACGTAATAAATAAAATAAAGCACGTCGTACATATAGACACGTATACGCGCGCGCACAATGTTGAGCATTTTTTATTAGCTTTATAGGCGTTTCAGAGGATGTCGAGTCGACGCTTAAAACTTAATGATTACGTGGATTCTAGTGCCAAAGTAGTTTTCTAAGGCGTCTTTCTCGCTATGGCGATTCGTACGCGAGAGAGAGAGAGAGAGAGAGAGAAAAAAAAAATCGTTTATCTATGTATAACTACGTTTCAAGAAGGAAACATTATGTTATTAATATTTCAAATTTTATATGCCTACGTTGAATATTATATTATAAACGTTATTCGAAGATGTTGGCGCTTTGACAAGTTTCGCGACACGAAACTAACAAAAAAATATCCTTAATCTGTATTATATACCCGGAGAGTCCTTTGTGTCGGATACTTGAACACTTCACGAATATATTAACGTATCGCTATTCCTACTATCGTTGAACTAAATATTGAAACTTTATCTCCATGAATAAAGAAAAAAATCAAAACAGATTTCTTTCGAATATGCAGATTGTTCGCAAAAATCAATTGCACGAACGGTATAAAAATTTCGCAACATTGGGTATAAATGGATGAGGATGTGTAAATTTGAAATTTTTAAATTCTGTCCATATAATTAAATGTATGTTTAATCACGTTTAATCTCTGATGCAATAGCAAATTTCGTCGATCGGAATCATGTTCGAAGTACTTGAATAATTTAGCAATGTTAAATGCAGTATCGGTGTGTAATTTGGCAATAAATAATGTAAAATATATCTTGTGGTGCTTAAATATAAAATATCTTTCTTTTCGTGTAATTAACTTTGTTTCTATTTCTATATTATTCAACGTTATTAATACTATTCGTTATTCATGTACTGAATCATGAAATACGATTTATTGTTAGAATCAAGTTCTTCGAATGTGATGCAACGTGTCGGAGAAAGAGGGGCATCTCTCTTATTTTTTCTCTAAATATTTAAAAATCTCTATTTGCGATCTAAGTGAGATAATTGCCGATAGAGCATGATTTAGAAAAGATTTGTCATAGATCTAGATTCGAAACAGTATTACAACCGCGAAAGTAGAAGTCGTCCAAATGCGAGATTAAGGAGAAGAAAAAAAATATTAGTATGATCCATTTAATTGCGCGTTATATTTTATCTCTCTCCACGATAGAATATTATTATCTTATCGCACCCGTTAAACGTACGTTAAGAATTCGCCGTGTTCTTTTTAAAAAAAAAATAAATAAATAATAATAATAGCATGTAGAACATGCGCTTTTACGCGATCGGAATGGCGTTCATACATGATTGTTTGTTTGTACAAATTTTAAACAAAAAACGCATACTCGTCTGAATATATAGTGTATAAGTTATGGCTTCCATATATATTTAAAATTATATATTTTATATTCTATATATTGTTCCATATATACATATATATATATTTATATATTATATTTATTATACAGGTATATCTATATATATCTTGTATATTTATTATATCTCTGAATACGCGCGCAAAAATTATAATTTAATTTATTGACAAGCATACGTCTTTGCGCGTGCTTTTTTTAAAATTATATTTTGTCTTGAAATATATAATATTTTTTTTCCATGTTAAAAAAAATGATTAATATTAAGATTAATATGCGATTAATATTAATATTAAGATTTGATGTAGGTATGAAATTTTTGTTAGCGATCGATGATTAATAAAATTATATGACTAATCAATTTCTTACACGAGATATATGCATAATTCTTTCTGCAGAGCAGAATAATACGAAGTACGATCTGTTCACGTGAAAATACGGGACGACGCTCGATTATAGAAATGTACGAGCAAGTAAATAAGTGCTAAGATTTCGACGTGAATGTGCAACTGCGAAAACTTTCTTATGCAATTAATTAATACAAATCTGTGGACACGTGTCCGTCCTTGTGCGTATTCTTGAACAATTAAAGATTAATTCTTTCATGCGCTGATTATTATTTGGACTATTATTAGGATCTTTAAACTCTAGAAATTTTACAATTCTATTCGCGAAAAAAAACTGTTGATATAATTTTCCACGTTATTTTTATAGCTACAAAAATTTGTTATACCGACTTCTTTTTTCTTTTCATTTATTTCACGATGAATTTGAAAAGAATTGCGCGCGCGCGTTTGCGAAAATCGTGGCATTGCGCATGAGAGGATTAAACGAAGACCTTAACATATAACAATATGTAAAAGAGAAACTAATAAAGATGTGTAGAGTAAGCCGATGAGAGAGCGTGTGTGCAAGCTTCGACGTCAGAGACTGTCTTAATATTTTATAAAGTGCAAATTGTACTATTGGGATTAAAAATACCAATCGGAATTTTTCGTATTAAGCACCTCTTTTTTTCCAATATAACTGATAAATCGAAAGTAATGCTAGTTATTGCGATCATTACATGTAATATGGAGACAACATACATGCGAAAATTTCTTACATACATTTATTTCTACCAGCCGCTAAACTATCTCATTGTATATGTCAACTTATTTTGCAAAATAAACTATTGGGCACGAAGAAAATAGCGTTCATTGTCACGATTAATGTATAATTCTTTCGTTTGCGTTGTGTAACTATAATAATAATTGGCAAATTTGATTAAATTTTATTTGTTTTATCCCTCTTTTTGTAAAAATATATATTTTAAGAAAAGTTTGTGATCTCTGATAATATTTTATGTCATCAAATTTTACATGATAACGAAACAAGTTTTTTTTTATTAACAATGTAAAATTCAATATTCTTTTCTCTGCCATTTTTAAATTTTTAATTCTTATTGTTTGTTTGTTTATTTAACAGAACTCGATGAAACTTTAATTGGAATCGTATTGGGATGTGTAGAGCCAGCTATAACGATAAATATAAATCAAGAGTCTTACACACTTCTTCTCATCTCGGCGTGATTATATCAAGTAAGTGAAAAATTATATATGCAATTTTATGATATTTATGTGTGGCGACAGTATATTTTATTTGCGTGAAATTATTATGCAAAATTATTAAAAGGCAGAAGTGCGGATCGTGTAAATTTTATTTCACGTCCGAAAATGTTCTTTTCTCCTATATATATAATTTAGTATCGTTACTTTTATTTGCTATAAAAATATCTAAAGTACGTCCATTACAACAACGATTAGATTCTTTCTTCGATATCATAGAACAGATTGCGTAAACTGGATAACTACTTTATCATCCTAGCTCGATCAAGAAGCCAATTGCAAATCCTTTTTACTCGTAATTATGTGCGGAATAATGAATATATTCATTAACTAGACATAAATCAGACATGTGTTAGTGTCTGATGCTCGTAATATAATCATTTAATTAAGCATCCAGTAAATTAACAAGTAATTAATGAATAATTTCCTATATGTATCTAAAGCGTCGTTAAAGCAAGCAACTGTAATATTTCATCAGAACTGCTGTCATTACAATTTCATGTTGTAGGATTTACGTACAACATGTATACACACTTTGCATATTCATACATATATATATATATATATCACCTATTATTATTATTATTCTACTATACATTATAGGAATTGCAATGGCAAGTTTGAGACAAGTCGGACTTGCAAATTTCACATTTTTATCCATCTTTCGTTACTTTTATCGCTCCAGGTCACCCACGTGCAGATTAATGATTGTTTGATAAAGTATTGTTTATTACAGCAGACACGAAGAGTCTATTGTTGAGGGAAACGCGCGCGCGAGTGGGAGGCGCATTTCATTTGATATAACAACTGCCACCAAGGCTGCATTGTGTATTTTTCATTTAGTAATCGATAACAAGCGTGCTCTCGTATATAATCCGCCTTTTTTTTATAGCTTCGTAAAATCAATGATATTTTGTTATTTAATGTGTCTGACGATTACAAAAACTGAGAATATGATTGACGAACGGAAAACTATACATGTTTGCCAATCAAACGGCTGAGTAAAAGAAAAAAAAGTAACTCGTTAAATTTTTGCTGCAACCATTTTGATCACACCGCACGCTTCTCTCTTTCTCTCGACGGAACCATTAATTATTATCATTCGTAATTTCGACGTTGCACGCCAGAGAGTTTTGTCTTTCTATAATAATTTTCGTTAATAAAATAATAATTTATTTTTCGACACGATTTCCTACGAGATGCTATATATGTCAAGTAAATCTTTGTAACTAATTTATGCCTTTGCGATATAAATTTCATCATCGAATCATTGTACCGTTAATTTAATCGTTATAAAAATCATTACGTTTGCATTTACACGTTTTATTTTTTTATTTTTATTCTTTGTATATATAAATTTGTAACGAATGTTCTTATCTTCATTTCTAAAATAAACGAGACAGAGTGGAATCGATTAATCGCATTAATCGCACCGGAAAGAGAGAAGGATATATAAGAGAATTAAGAATTTAACAAGGCTCTGTAATATAAATATAAATAAATTGAGAGTGTCAAACAGGCAATAAGAGCCAAATCGCGGATGACTAAATGTTTTCGTTAGGATTAAAAACCTGTGCACTAAATTTTACTA